AAATAAAAGATACATTTACCAGGAATGCTGGTAAAAAATATAAATTTTTGGACTGTATATTAAATTTAAAATTATTTTTAAAAAATAAACACATTTACATAAAAGAAGGAAAATATCTTAAAACATAACACCACCAATTTTTACTGGAGAATTTAAAAGGGCATGTACAGGACTCCCCCCCCCCCCCTTTTGCCTACATTTTTTGAAGAATTTACTGGCCAGAAAAATTAAAAAATAATTTTGACAGCTTATTTGAGGGTTTCCCGGGGGTTGTTTTCCCGTTTTCCTGGGGTTTTCCTGGAGAGAGTTCCGGGGGGGCAACGCCCCCCCGGGCCCGGGCTGTGACCAGGCCTCCCCCGGTGGATCAGAGCCCCGATCAACCCCGGCTGTTGCTGCTGGCCCACGCAAACCAACGTACGAGCCACAGCCCGCTGGTCAGGAACCCACTTTTAGGGGCTTTTCGTGGGCCCCTTGAAGACTGGGCCCGGGGGCTGTTTGGGAATCCCCCCTTTTGTATGCTGGGAAAGGGAGTTGAACATCCGGGCCCCCCGAAAACTTATTGTATGGTCTCTTAACGTGCCCAGTGACAACCCCTGCTTTCATTGGGGGATGTTTGGCCAAAAATCTGCCAAGGGCTTTTTCTTTCCCAAATGAGTGGGTTTTCGTGTGCAAGTTCGGTACTAGTCCCTCTAAGGGTTTTTCCCGGTGTAAAAAAATCAGTACCCCCCGCCTTCGTTTTCCCGGGGAAAAATTTTAGGAACCTCAAGCGCTCCCCCAATTTAAAAAATTTAGGGTTTTTTTTTATCTCCGTTATGCCGGGCCCGGGGAAAGGGTTTTCTGACCTTTTTCCCAGGTTTAGCAATTTCCCCTGCCTTGAAAGTTGCTGTTAGGGGCAGCAAAAATCCAGCCTAGATAGAACAATGCCCTAAGAGTGTCATCAGGGGCTTGCCCCCCAGTTTTGAAGGTTCCATTATCCACCTGTCATTTTTCTGAAATTTGCTTTGAAAATGTTAGGCCCTTTGAAGGTGGATCCTCCACATAACAAAAAACCCGCACATAAAAGAGAGAAGTTTACACGACGTTTCGGCCGGGCTTGGACCAGGACAAAGTCAGGTGACTTTGTCAATGGCCGAGTGGGACCGAAACGTCGTAGTAAGCTTCCTCTTTTATTGGGGGTTTTTTTTGGTTTCCCAGTCAGGGGTATTGGCCCTTTTTTTTGTTACCCCCTCCAAGATCACCCCCGGGTCTTTGACGTTGGTGTTTCGCTCTTTTTTTGTGGCCAGAATTTGTTTTGTACCTGCCCCTTTCCGTGCCTTTTTCTCAAAAAATGCAGGAAGCACATCCAACAATTTCCCTCCTATTTGAGAGGGGTTTAGCCCGATTTTAAACCCCTAGAGCACGAAAAAAACTTCCCATTATTTACAAAGTGTTTTTTCAATTCAAAAAAAAGGCACTGCCCTCCCCACCTCGGTTTCCATTTTCGATAACAAATTTTTTTAAAAAAACAATATAGGGCATCATTTCTATAAAAACCGATTTTTCCCAAAATATATACAGTATTTTCCACATGTAGATTTGCCTTTGGCCCTGGTTACCTCTTTTCAGACATTATATTCAAAGGGGAGCGCTAAACTCCATAGGGCAATACAGCGCCTAGGGCCTTACAGGAATGGAAGGCATACAAATAGGGTCGATTGAAGGAACTGGAGTGCAGGTTCATTTCCTTAGATGAAGAGTTCCTCTCCAGCATCAAGGAGCCTCCCGAGAGAGGTCCATCAGACAAGTTCCTTATTTTCAAATACTTCTAGTATTTTGTACACTTAATCATGCCTTCCCTGGTTCTCCTCTGTATTAAGATTACTTTAATTTTTTTTTTCATCCTACGCCTTTCCTCTTAGCTCAAAACTAAACTGATAACGTTAGTCTCACAGTGGACTAGTGATAATTCTTCGCTTGCTTTAAAACACTGAAGGTTCGTTCACTTGCAGCCATAAATGCTGGTAAACAGACAAAAATGCTGATTACATTTGTGATACAGTATTTGGAAAAAACAGCTGAGAACTCAAGATAAAGTAATTCTTGAAGTAATTTCGTTGGTTTGGGACACTGACTGCTCATGTGATGAAATCTGGTCTAAGTTTCGTCCAAACTCTGTTGAGGCTTCATCCCAACCGACCGGACAAAAGTGATGCATTTGCATTTTTTCCTCACTTCATCACAACCAGGTTCTTGTGCAAGTCCCTTGGAAGAATTTTCTTCAACAAACTAGCATTAAGAGTGTTAGAAATTATGTGGAGGGATTTTTCACGAGTACACACTCTCAGGTTAATTTTCTACCCACACACTGGGAAGAGCTCTTGACACAAAAATAAATTGTAACCTACCATACCACGGGCGGGGATAGAACTCTCGATCAGAGTCTCAAAACTCCAGACTGTCGCGTTAGCCACTGGGCCAGCTAGCCACAATAAGAGTCATTCAACTAGGTATATTTCTACACCATAGGAAGGTTAGCATAGGCACCACTGTGGTATGGTTTGTTTGCAATCGTGTCATTACGATTTCGTGAGTCAAATTGTAACTTGCTGATGTTGATGTATCGTGGAGACTTGTGGGACTTGAACACTGGGGTCACAATGTCCCTCCTTCAATGACCACCGTCTCAGCTCCCCAACTCACACCGGGACTGGATTAAGAACTTATGGTTCCTGTAGATTTTTATGAAAATTCACGGCAAAAAATCTGGCGAATTGAGTGGACTGTTTAATTATAAAGACGTTATTTGGGCTTGTCAGCTTTAAGAATTTTATTGGTCTACTATTTTTTCAAACACAATTTAGTTATAAATTATTAAATACATCATTATCTTGGTGATACATCCTAACGCCTCCCAATAGAAAGGCAGCCTAGCATTGGCCAAGATCTAGCTACCTTACCTGTACATTAATTACTGGATGATGCATGCGATAGTAGACATGACTCCCATTTCATACTGCGTCACGTTTCTCATCCATATCATCCTTTATGATTACGTTTCATCGTATATCAGGACCCTTCCAGATGTATTTCCTCTTCACTTGTGAAGAAATTCCGCGGATAATATTTCTATCGGCCACGATTACACTCGATAAAATATTCACAAATTTACCGACCCATTGTCCTGTTACGGCATCTTTGTTTCTTCTTTTTCTTGTAACGTTTATCTTGTACACATATATTTATTAAAATTTAGTGATATTTCTAGGTGTATAATACACTTCTAGGCTAGGTGTATAACTACATTTTACTTAATTAACTGATTACGATAAATTATAGGCGACATGTTGGCTCCCCTACGATTATCACCTTTTAAGTCACATCAACACCACACACCTGCATTATTACATAAACATTACTTTCTTATCAATTACCACACACAAATCCTAGGAAAATTATCAAAATTTTCCACAGAATTATAATCATCAACTCGTACTAGGACTGTCAAAACTTCGAATTTGAAGAAAAGAATGCATTAAGGCAGCCAGACTTTTAGCTCTTTTTCTTAATTACACTTTTTGTGTATGATCTAAATCTTCTTGGAGCAAAGCTTGTTGACTGGATGCGTAGTCTGTTGCATGTGTAGTGTGTTGTTGGAAACACATCTTCATTACTGTTTAAACCTTTCTTGTATCAACAGTATTCAATATCGACAAGGCTAGTGCTCGTCACCTGCTCCTAGGGACTGACTGCCTCATCTTCCACTGTCTGCTGTATGTATTTCTGCAGACTTCATATTATGTCCATTTATTGTATTGCTAAAACCAATGGATGGCGAAATGTCTACGAGTAAAGATATGCAAATGTTGCACATGTGTCTAATTAAACCTTATTTGCAGAGTTATCATCTAAAACAGTGTATTGGGTAGTGTGCTTTCCGGTGAACTAAGGAATATTTTCTTAATGGTTTTGCTTCAGTACACAGATAACCCGTGCGTAGGAAACACTCGTGAAGATGTTTCAGTCTGACTTGGACCATTAGGTAATGCACATATTCTAGAAATTAATATAAAAAAAGGCGAAAACAGTGCAAGACATTAACAGACAAGCTAAATAAAACAAATATTATCTGGTTGCTGAAATACATGTATTATGTTATCCACTGTAATCGTATATTAGCAATCCCTGTTCACCTAGCAGTAAGCAGGTATCTGGGAGTAGTTAATCGATGCGGATCTGATCCTGGGAGACAAGATTAAAGACCCCAAAGGAAATAAGACAGTCCTCGATGACGCACTAAGTTCACAGGGTTATCATAGGTAGCTAACCCTCCGTGTTAAAATTCTGAACAAATCTTGTTGTAAGTAAATATCAACGAGCTAGCATCAATTGTTCCTAGTAGATACAGTCCTCTCAACGGCTGTGTCTAATAGGGGTCTTGATAATACGGACTTAGGAATCGGCTGCTATGAGTCTCATCCTAGAGAAGTGCAGAAACTACACTTCTTGGCCGACTTGGGTTATCCTGGTTTAACTCATAATACGATTTATTTTTATATTCTTCGGAGGATCTAGACCCGTTCGGGGGTTACACAACTCCTGGTAAGGAAGTTAATCAGATTTAATCCGTGAAAGAGAGGGGTTTTCTCTTTTTCATAATAATGTCAAAATTTATTATAGTTACTCTTGTTCTACGAAAACATAGAAAACTGCACCCCGTTTTCTGTTCGCACGTGCCTAAGATGGCAGTGTATATTTAGTACACAGGTCCATCTCGGGGTCTTACAGTAATTTAATACAAATCTCGTTATTTACCGACCAGCGTCCTTCAGATGCTAAAGTAGTTGGTTGCTTTTAATTAAAATCTGCTAATATAAGACGGATGGAGGCGTTCCAAGCTAAATTAGTCAACATAACTTTGATTAACGGGCCAACAATGAGTGCTGAGAAATCCTGGTACTCGGTATGATTTTAGTGGCACCGGTGCCAAATGCAGCAGCAGCAGCAGCAGCAGCCGGGCCATGTGCCCCAGTGTGTGGTGGTCTGTGGTGCTGCCCAGTGCCGTGAGACAGCGATATAACTAATATATGGCAGGGGATCCTAACCTTGTATACTAAAGAAACATCTTGAAATTTGAGGAAATGTTATTGAGCTCCAAAGAAGGTTGTTTAATCGAAGTGGCGTAAAATTGTATATGCCAATAAATTACGCTGTAATCTTCATTATGTATATATTTAGAAAGAGAAAAGAACGCTATACCTAAAAAATTTTCGCAAGTGAGAAATTTTTAAAGACATTAATTTCTAAGATGATAGTTTTGATTTAAAATCATTCACTATCTTCCAATTTGCAACAAAATTGAAAGTGAGCCTTGCACTAGGCTTGTTAGGCCTTAGGCTCATCTCCCACAAACCTAACCAGCCTATGGGTGCCTGGTATTCGTCTGCAGTTAACTGTTTAATAATTATACTGGTAGTGTTAAAATGTTATACATTATGTGAAGCGGTAGACCCGTGTGGGGTCATTCAGAAGTGGCTGAGGCTCGATCCTCCTCCCAGTAAACGCTCAATTGCAAGTTTAAACAGGTCTGCCTACCTGGAGGGTGTCCCCACGGTCCAGTCTTTGACCAGGCCTCCCGGTGGATCAGGGCTTGATCAAACAGGCTGTTACTACTGGCCGCACGCAGTCCGACGTAGGAACCACAGCCCGGTTGATTAGGTACTGACTATTTATCAGTCCAGCTCCCTCTTAAAGGTAGCCAGGGGGTCTATTGGTAATTCCCCTTATGCCTGGTGTTGAACAGTCTTATGTCCCGGACACTTATTGTGTTTTCTCTTACTGTACTAATGGCTCCCCTACTTTTCATTGGGGGTATGTTGCACCATTTGCCCAGTCTTTTGCTTTCGTAGGGAGTGATTTCCGTGTGTAGATTTGGGACCAGTCCCTCTACGATTCTCCAGGTGTAGATTATGATGCATCTCTCTCACATGCACTCCACTGAATACAAGTGACTCAAAGTGTTCCAAGTAATTAAGGTGTTTGACGGAACTTATATATGCAGCAAAGGTTCTCTGTACTAAAATAATAAAAAAAGCTTAGAAGTAATAATGAACACCATAGGACTTTTCTGAATAATAATAACGATAACAATATTATTGATAGAGAAAAAAAGTGTGTGGAAACCAAGACTTGTATTGAACTAAGAAATAATCAACCACAACAATGAAAGATCCACAAAATTTACAAGCCTAACGGAAGGAGTAAAAAAAAAAGAAGTGAGAAATTTGCAGGAAAGCCAGGCTTCTGACCTGACCCAGGTGAACCTCAGAGGTGAGTCTCACTCAGGTGACTTTTCACCTAAAAAAAAAAAAACAGTAGGAGAGGAACCTTATGATGACTTGTGGGTTTTTGATGAAGTGATCCAGCCACGGGTCTGTGACCTTAATTCTCAGGTGATTTTTGTATAACATGTTAGGCTCCCTTAGGTGAGTCATGTAGAGTAGGTTACTCAGGTGAGTCTGGTAGAGCAGGTTACTCTCTCAGGTGAGTCTGGTAGAGCAGGTTACTCTCTCAGGTGAGTCTGGTAGAGCAGGTTACTCTCTCAGGTGAGTCTGGTAGAGCAGGTTACTCTCTCAGGTGAGTCTGATAGAGCAGGCTGGGCTCACTCAGGTAAGTCTGGTAGAGCAGGCTGGGCTCACTTAGGTAAGTCTGGTAGAGCAGGCTGGGCTCACTCAGGTAAGTCTGGTAGAGCAGGCTGGGCTCACTCAGGTAAGTCTGGTAGAGCAGGCTGGGCTCACTCAGGTAAGCCCTGGTAGAGCAGGTTTGGGCTCACTCAGGTAAGTCTGGTAGAGCAGGCTGGGCTCACTCAGGTAAGTCTGGTAGAACAGGCTGGACTCACTCAGGTAAGTCTGGTAGAGCAGGCTGGGCTCACTCAGGTAAGTCTGGTAGAGCAGGCTGGGCTCACTCAGGTAAGTCTGGTAGAGCAGGATGGGCTCACTCAGGTAAGTCTGGTAGAGCAGGCTGGGCTCACTCAGATAAGTCTGGTAGAACAGGCTGGGCTCACTCAGGTAAGTCTGGTAGAGCAGGCTGGGCTCACTCAGGTAAGTCTGGTAGAGCAGGCTGGGCTCACTCAGGTAAGTCTGGTAGAGCAGGCGGGGCTCACTCAATAAGTCTGGTGAGCGGGCTGGGCTCACTCAGATAAGTCTGGTAGAGCAGGCTGGGCTCACTCAGATAAGTCTGGTAGAGCAGGCTGGGCTCACTCAGGAAAAGTCTGGTAGAGCAGGCGGGGCTCACTCAGGTAAGTCTGGTAGGGGCAGGCTGGCTCACTCGGGTAAGTCTGGTAGAGCAGGCTGGGCTCACTCAGGAAATTTCTGGTAGAGCAGGCTGGGCTCACTCAGGTAAGTCTGGTAGAGCAGGCTGGGCTCACTCAGATAAGTCTGGTAGAGCAGGCTGGGCTCACTCAGATAAGTCTGGTAGAGCAGGCTGGGCTCACTCAGGTAAGTCTGGTAGAGCAGGCTGGGCTCACTCAGGTAAGTCTGGTAGAGCAGGCTGGGCTCACTCAGGTTAAGTCTGGTAGAGCGGGGCGGGCTCACTCAGGTAAGTCTGGTAGAGCAGCGGGCTCACTCAGATAAGTTGGTAGAGCAGGCTGGGCTCACTCAGGTAAGTCTGGTAGAGCAGGCTGGGCTCACTCAGGTAAGTCTGGTAGAGCAGGCTGGGCTCACTCAGTACCGGCACTTGGGTGCCTTTGTTGCCAAAACGTTAAACCTGAGAAGCAGAATTCTTCAGTCGGAAACAGACAGTGGAAGAAATGTGGCAGCTGTGTATCAATTATCTCTATGTTACGTCATCCGCGGATACAGATACATAGATACTTTGTTAATGTGTACCAAGAAGTATACCACTGTGTTCTAAACTTGCGCCCTCCCCATTCATTCATCCTTATCCTTGTGGCACTCCCATTCATCCATCCTGAGCTTTGTGGCACCTCCATTCATCCGTCATGAGCCTTGTGTCATTCCCATTCTTCCTGATCCTTGGGGTACCCTATTCATCCATCCTGATCCTTGTGGTACCCCCATTCATCCATCCTGATCCTTGTGGTACCCCCATTCATCCATCCCGATCCTTGTGGTACCCCCATTCATCCATCCTGATCCTTGTGGTACCCCCATTCATCCATCTTGATCCTTATGGTACCCCCATTCATTCATCCTGATCCTTGTGGCACATCCATTCATTCATCCTGATCCTTGTGGCACCCCCATTCATCCATCCTGATCCTTGTGGCACCCCCATTCATCCATTCTGATCCTTGTAGTACCCCCATTCATCCATCTTGATCCTTGTAGTACCCCCATTCATTCATCCTGATCCTTGTGGCACATCCATTCATTCATCCTGATCCTTGTGGCACATCCATTCATTCATCCTGATCCTTGTGGCACCCCCATTCATCCATCCTGATCCTTGTGGTACCCCCATTCATCCATCTTGATCCTTATGGTACCCCCATTCATTCATCCTGATCCTTGTGGCACATCCATTCATTCATCCTGATCCTTGTGGCGCCCCCATTCATCCATCCTGATCCTTGTGGCACCCCCATTCATCCATCCTGATCCTTGTGGTACCCCCATTCATCCATCCTGATCCTTGTGGTACCCCATTCATCCATCCTGATCCTTGTAGTACCCCCATTCATCCATCCTGATCCTTGTGGCGCCCCCATTCATCCATTCTGATCCTTGTGGTACCCCCATTCATCCATCCTGATCCTTGTGGCACCCCATTCATCCATCCCGATCCTTGTGGTACCCCCATTTATCCATCCTGATCCTTGTGGCATCCCCATTCATCCATCATGATCCTTGTGGCATCCCCATTCATCCATCCTGATCCTTGTGGCATCCACATTCATCCATCCTGATCCTTGTGGCATCCACATTCATCCATCCTGATCCTTGTGGCATCCCCATTCATCCATCCTGATCCTTGTGGCACCCCCATTCATCCATCCTGATCCTTGTGGTACCCCCATTCATCCATCCTGATCCTTGTGGCGCCCCATTCATCCATTCTGATCCTTGTGGTACCCCCATTCATCCATCCTGATTCTTGTGGTACCCCCATTTATCCATCCTGATCCTTGTGGCACCCCCATTCATCCATCCTGATCCTTGTAGCATCCCCATTCATCCATCCTGATCCTTGTGGCATCCCCATTCATTCATCCTGATCCTCGTGGCACCCCATTCATCCATCCTGATCCTTGTGGCACCCCCATTCATCCATCCTGATCCTTGTGGCGCCCCCATTCATCCATTCTGATCCTTGTAGTACCCCCATTCATCCTTCCTGATCCTTGTGGTACCTCCATTCATCCATCCTGATCCTTGTGGCATCCCCATTCATCCATCCTGATCCTTGTGGTACCTCCATTCATCCATCCTGATCCTTGTGGTACCCCATTCATCCATCCTGATCCTTGTGGCACCCCATTCATCCATCCTGATCCTTGTGGTAGCCCCATTCATCCATCCTGATCCTTGTAGTACCCCCATTCATCCATCCTGATCCTTGTGGTACCCCCATTCATCCATCCTGATCCTTGTGGTACCCCCATTCATCCATCCTGATCCTTGTAGTACCTCCATTCATCCATCCTGATCCTTGTAGTACCTCCATTCATCCATCCTGATCCTTGTGGCATCCCCATTCATCCATCCTGATCCTTGTGGTACCTCCATTCATCCATCCTGATCCTTGTAGTACCTCCTTTCATCCATCCTGATCCTTGTGGCACCCCCATTCATCCATCCTGATCCATGTGGTACCTCCATTCATCCATCCTGATCCTTGTGGTACCCCCATTCATCCATCCTGATCCTTGTAGTACCCACATTCATCCATCCTGATCCTTGTAGTACCTCCATTCATCCATCCTGATCCTTGTGGCATCCCCATTCATCCATCCTGATCCTTGTGGCACCCCCATTCATCCATCCTGATCCTTGTGGCACCCCCATTCATCCATCCTGATCCTTGTGGCACCCCCATTCATCCATCCTGATCCTTGTGGCCAAACCCCCCTTCAAACCATCCTGATCCTTGTGGCACCCCCATTCATCCATCCTGATCCTTGTGGCACCCCCATTGAACCATCCTGTTTGATGTGGCACCTCACTCATCAACTTAATATTTTCTTCCAGACCATCATTCTCTGTATATTTCCCTCTTGAGTTTTATCTAATATATTTCTATACATTTCCCGTCATCTCTACTTCCTCCCGTTGTTGATGGATAAGTTTCTAGTGGGACGAAATATTTCTGAATACTGTATAACACAAGAAACTTGATAAAGCTTGACAAAGGTGGATAAAGTTTATCACCAAGTGAAATGTCGCTATAATACTTTTTTCTTCGTAACATTTATGTATTTTTATTACATTTGTCTGTTCCATTTTCAAAGGAAATCGTGTATCATAACAGAAAACGATGAAGTCTTGGCAAGGGTGGGAGAAACCTATAATGATTTTGATTGTGGTTGGTAGGATTGCAGAGGGCACATAAGTAAGTTTATTTAGGCATAGGTATACATAAACACAATTATCATGCATAGTGTAAATTGCCTAGGATAACCCAAATATGTCAGAGAAAGTGACTTATTACCATTGAGGTCCAGCGACTAGGTCCTGTGATGAATGAAAGGCAACTTTGTGTAACTTGCGAATTCGCCATAACAAATCCCCGGCGATGACTTGGGTGCAGGAATATCCTCATTTGTTTTTGATTTTAGAGGAATCGTTTTCTGACGCACGGCCTTAAATAGACTCTGAGAGTCATAGGGAAATTCCTTGACCAGGTGAAGATTGCGTCTCTTTCACTTGGCATCAAATCAATCCATGTTTCTTTGTCTATTACAACTTAAAATTGTTTACTTCAACAGTGGCGACCCACACGGAAACGTCAGATAAGCATGAGGAGAGGAGCTATCAGGCATAAAATATCTACTTCCCTCGCTCCCCTAAAAGTTATCTTTCGCTCATTTTCATGCCTCTCTCACTCTCTCCCTACCTTCGTCTCTCTCTCTTTTCCTCACTTCCCTTTTCTACCCTATGCCTCTCGGATTTGTAAATTAGCCTTTGAAAATTACCAGACCGCACTTCACTTTTAAATACGCAAGACAGTTTTAAAGGCAACCAACATAACATTTATAAATATACACCTGGTGTGTGTTTGCTCACCTGTATGTACTCCCTTATATGTGTTTGCAGGGGTGGATTCACAGCTTCTGGATCCGTCTTTTCGCTGGTAGCTAGTAGGTCTACTGGCTGCATGAACCTTGTGCCTCTTCTTGAAACTATGTATGGATCCCGCCTCTAGCACTTCACTTTCCAGACTGCTCCACTTCCTGACAACTCTAAGGCTGAAGAAATGCATATCATCTCTCTTGAGTGTGTGTGTGTGTGTGTGTGTGTGTGTGTGTGTGTGTGTGTGTGTGTGTACTCACCTATTTGTGGTTGCAGGGGTCAAAACTCAGCTCCTGGCCCCGCCTCTTCACTGGTCGCTACTGGGTCCTCCCTCTCCCTGCTCCATGAGCTTTATCATACCTCGTCTTAAAACTATGTATAGTTCCTGCCTCCACTACATCGCTTGTCAGACTGTTCCACTTCCTAACAACTCTATGGCTGAAAAAATACTTCCTAAGATCCCTTTGACTCATCTGAGTCTTCGACTTCTAATTGTGTCGCCTTGTTTCTGTGTCCCCTCTCTGGAAATTCCTGTGTGTACTCACCTAGTTGTACTCACCTAGTTGAGGTTGCGGAGGTCGAGTCCGAGCTCCTGGCCCCGCCTCTTCACTGATCGCTACTAGGTCACTCTCCCTGAGCCGTGAGCTTTATCATACCTCTGCTTAAAGCTATGTATGGATCCTGCCTCCACTACATCGCTTCCCAAACTATTCCACTTACTGACTACTCTGTGGCTGAAGAAATACTTCCTAACATCCCTGTGATTCATCTGTGTCTTCAGCTTCCAACTGTGTCCCCTTGTTACTGTGTCCAATCTCTGGAACATCCTGTCTTTGTCCACCTTGTCAATTCCTCTCAGTATTTTGTATGTCGTTATCATGTCCCCCCATCTCTCCTGTCCTCCAGTGTCGTCAGGTTTATTTTCCCTTAACCTCTCCTCGTAGGACATACCTCTTAGCTCTGGGACTAGTCTTGTTGCAAACCTTTGCACTTTCTCTAGTTTCTTCACGTGCTTGGCTAGGTGTGGGTTCCAAACTGGTGCCGCATACATGTGTGTGTGTGTGTGTGTGTGTGTGTGTGTGTGTGTGTGTGTGTGTGTGTGTGTGTGTGTGTGTGAGGATGAGTAGTGACACAGGTGAGGTGGGACCTGTAGACGACTAAGGAACTTTAGCCTAAAATACATCTGACTAACATACATTCCCGGCTGTCTCGTTGAGTCTACATATGGGAACGTCTTCAGAGACACTCTTAAACTATGTTATTATTATAATTATAATTATTATTATAATTATTATAATTATTATGTATGGCCAATAACGCAATAAGAATCATGCATCGTCAAGAGAATGGGTAATCAAATTTAATCTAAGGAAAAGGGAGGGGGTAGCTCCTACTCCCTAGATCCCATGGATGTGTGCAACAATTAACAGGTCTAAAACACGTATTCTCAGGTGACAAGAGAGTGGTGTGACAAGATGGCGTTCGTGTTGCTGCCCTGTGACCTGCCCACCTGGCCTGCCGTCCAGCGTCACCTGAATTCTCTGAAGGGCACCACCTGCCCACACCACCTCACCCAGGTGCTCTATGCTCTACATTCACTCTCAAAGTAAGTTACTAGCTGACTCCACCTCACCCAGGTACTCTATGCTCTACATTCAATGTGCAAATCACCAGAAAAAATCATTCACATTCCATACAGGCATAAAACGTAAAATTTTACAAATACATAAATTAATTATAATCAAAGTAAGCGCTAAACCGATAATTTTATATATATTTTAAAATATATATATATATATATTATATAAAAATTATATAAATATATATATATATAATATATATAAATATATATATAATGCAAAACAAGTAAACAGGTGATTTCAGAAATGCAAAACAACCACTATGAAAGAATAGAGAAATTCCAAGCGCTTTCGTGACTACTCACATTATCAAGGAACTAAAGAAAGTAAAGCATCCAAGGAAGCTATATAAGGGTCTGGCCAACACCTCACTATCAGATCCCACAACGGTTAAACACCTGAAAGCGCGCCGGCCCAACTGGGTGGGCCCTTTCACAACTCACCAACAAACTATTCTACCCAAGAAAATTTAAAAATTTTTATTTGTCCAGTGTATTATTAAATTCTTCCCAAATTTTATTAATTAAAAAATGTCTAATTTATATAAACCAAAGGAAATATTCATATTATTGTCAAACTGCTTTTTAGAAACAAGATTCAATTATATTCCTGTCGACCATGGACTTGCTTGATACTACTTTCTCAACTTTTTGAAAATTAATTGGATGGTTAAAATCTCTTACATGAATAAATAGAGCTTGGAATCTTGTCCATTCTAATGCTATTTTATGTTTGTTTAATCTTAGTTCGAGATTTTTACCAGTTTTAACATAATAAACTTTAACGCAAATTTACAAGGAATCTTATAGACACATCCATCAGCTTTTGGGGGAATTCTTTATCAAAAGTTTTTTACTGTATCAAGATTTTTGAATACAACTTTAATATTAAAAGTCTTAAGAAAGAAGGCATATCAACCAAGTTTTCATGGTAAGGGAGAACCAACATATTTTTAGTTGAATAAGGCTAGTTGTCCCCCCTTTTTTTGGGTTGTAAAAAGTATTTCTAGCAACTTTAAAAGATTTATCAATTACATTTCTTGGGTATTTTAAATCATTACCTATTTCATAAAATTTTGGGGTATTTCCTCATCTATGAACTCAGGACTACAAATTCGTAAAGCTCTCAAAAACATTGATGAGAAAACAGACCCGTTTTGATCTATCTTGATGCGAGGAATAATAGTGGACTTTGGAACAGTTATTTGTAGGTTTTCATATAAATTATCCAAATGGCTTGTTTATATTTTGAGCCCTATTGTTGGGAAAATTTCTAACTTTTAAAGTTAAAAACAACATAGACTTGGTTGATAAATTAAGCTCCTTGACTGACTTAAATGATTTTAACATTTGGGTTTGTTTTTTATGTTATTTCCTTGTTTACGAAAGTTTCCTGTTGATGATTTATTAAGTTTCTTATCTGAAAACTCGTTAACTATGATTTACCATTGCTAGTCCTACTATCATTAAACTTATTAAACTTTGCATTGTTGATGCAAAATTTGGGATTTTAAAGATAAGTTTTAAAACTCAGAAGTTTTTGGGATTGGGC